TGTATTGAAATCCAAGTAGGTACTACTAAGACTGTTTCAACATTCTTTATAGTAAGAGGAGAAGCATCTTGTAATGTTATCCTAGGTAAAGAATGGTTGCATCAAACTTATGCTATCCCTTCTTCTTTGCATCAGAAAATAATATTATGGAATGGTGATGAATACGAAGTAGTTTGTGCAGATGTAGAAGCTTTTATGATTGATACTAACCAACATTTTCCCAGGGTTCTTGTGAAGTCAACACCAAAGACAGATGAGATTGTACTCAAACTTGATTCCTAGTCAGTTCCTAAACTGAAGGTGGTGTTAAGTGCAATCGCTAAGATAGAAGAGGCAGATGCAGATGAAGATAAACACAATTCACCTGCAGAGTCTTGCTCTAAGTTTGGAGTACTTAAGATTGGATATGTTTAGTATCTTTTCTTTGTGCATTTGTAGTTTGAACAAATATTATGGATAATTACATAAAAAGCAAATTCAGATCTGGTACTTTATTAGCTCTTCAAAATTTATATGCAAGTTATTACTCGCAACATAATATAGAGGTTAACACAAACATGGAGGCTCATGAATGTCTATTTAACTACTCAAACTTTGATGACCATATCCGATCATTGCCAAATTCGGACAAAGAGTTCTATGGTGGAGAAGACAATGAAAAGGTATGGGCTAAGAGTGAAGATATCAAACAGGAAGTCCATGATCCTCTAGAAGAAGTCAATCTCGGAACTAATGACTGTCCTAGATTCACTTACATAAGTAAGGAATTACTCGGAAAGGAAAAATTATTTTTGATTGATATACTTCACAAATATAAGGATTGTTTCGCATGGGAGTATCACGAAATGCCTGGTATAGATCCTTCTATTATCCAGCATAGCCTCCCTATTAACCTGGTTACAATCCTATAGTCCAAAATCTAAGACGTTTATCGCCAGAGTTGATTCCTAAAATAAAGAAAGAGATTGTCAAACTCTTGGAGGCAGAATTCATACAACCCACCAAATTTGCAGAGTGGATAGCTAACATTGTTCATGTAATTAAAAAGAATGGCAAAAGCAAGATATGCATAGATTATAGAGATATCAATAGTGCATCCCCAAAGGATCAATACCCCATGCCTGTAGCAGATTTGTTGATAGATGCCTCATCAAGACATGAGCTTGTATCAACGCTAGATGGCTTCATTGGGTATCACCAGATAAGGATCGTTGGAAATTTTCGCTCAAAGACGACATTTAGGTGCCCAGGCTCTTTGGGACTTTATGAATATGCGGCGATGCCATTTGGACTTAAGAATGCAGGGGCAACATATTAGAAAGCTATGAATCTCATATTTGATGAAATGATTGGCCACTTTATGGAGGTTTACATAGACTATATTTTGGTAAAATCCCATGACTTATCAAAGCATTTGGAACACCTCATTCTAGCGTTTGAAAGGATGAGGAAGTTCAATCTAAAGATGAACCCCCTTAAATGTGCCTTCGGGGTTAAAGACAATAACTTTCTGGGATTCTTGGTTCACAAGAACGGCATAGAGGCTGACCAAAACAAGGCTAAAGCAGTTCTTGAAGCACCACCTCTGACCAATAAAAAGGAACTCCAGAAGTTTCTGGGGCAAATTAATTATGTTCAAAGGTTTATCACTAACTTAGCTGGGAAAACAAAAGTGTTTTCTCCACTTCTTAAACTTAAACAAGGAGAAGAGTTCAAGTGGGAGCCCGAACATCAAGATGCCTTTGAACAAATCAAGAGGAAGCTAGCGACTCCACCAATACTAATTCCTCCTAAGCAAAATGGAAAGCCTTTGAAATTGTATCTTTCAACTACCAAGAATTTAATTGCAAGCATGTTAACCCAAGAGAACGAACAGGGTCATGAACAGGAAATATAATTTTCTATTTAAGTAGAATCCTTCATGATACTGAAACTAGATTCACCAATGCTGAAAAGGGGTGTTTGAGTTTGTATGATGCTTCCATCAAACTTAATCATTACTTTATGGCTTTCCCAGTAGAGATTATTTCACCAATAAATGTACTCAAATACTTATTGAATCACCCTTTCATCAAAGGAAGGTTGTGTAAATGGAGTATACATCTATCACCGTGCAAGACTATATGTAGTCTTGAGATGAGTTTTGAAATTCAAAACTCATCTCAAGACTCTACAAATTAAAAAAACTCATCTTAGGAGGGTAAGTGAGTTTAAAGTGAATCTTGGGATAATGTGTTAAATTGGAAAAAGTTTAGTATGAGTCTAAATAATAAAAAATAATTTAAAGTTAGTGAAAAGCTGACGTGACAGAGACTGTGTCTTGGGATAAACTTACCCTGAGGCGCCTTCTGATATTTCAATCCTCCATTGAAGAAACTTCTAAGGTAAGTTCTTGTTCCTTTTTTGTAATCATCATATCAATTTCACAATCTAGGGTTTATTGTTGATCTAATCTAATATCAATTTCGCAATTTAGGGTTCGAACTTTTGAACTATTGGTCCTAATTACTGACGAGATAATTAAATTACGTAGTACTTCCTCCGTTCTATTAATATTGCAACAAGGATAAAATTACACATCCCAAAACACATATTATATGCTAAATATCTATAATTATGTAAGAGTAAAAACTATAAAAAGTTGATATTGTAAAAGTAATTTATGAGACGAATCCAACAAGATCCAACGTGACTATATTTTGCTTAACGTATAAATCATATTATATGGTCAAACAAGAGTGATGAATAGTGCAAAAACTCGATTGTTGCAGCTTGTGGTCGTAGGAGTTTGACCACGTCAATGAGAAAGTCTTAAAGGATAAACTGCCCATGTTTCCTAATCTGAAACATCTAGAGTTGGGTGGTGCTATTCAAGATAGCTGCTGGGATAATCTGCTGATGCCCTTTCTCAACTGTTCACCTGTCTTAGAAACACTTGAATTTGCATAGGTTGGTGTGGTTTTGATAATCATATGAGCAATGTTGTTGAACTTCTAAGCGAGTTTTCTTCATTTTAATTTTAATGATTATTGCTGTTCACTTCTTAGGGACTCGCTGGATATCTTGGCGGCCGTTTATGTGAGTATAGGGTAAAGGCGCTGGAGCGGGAATGAGAGTTTTTTACCCGTACAGATCATGAAGCTCCTGTATGTTGCAGGAATCGTCTCAAAAGAACAGTGAAAAGGGAATACTATGGATTAGATCAGGAGATAGTAATAACCCAGTTTCTCCTTAGACATGCGTTAGTTTTGGAGGAACTGGTCATATGCTTAGCCCGAAATCCAAATCCAAATCCAAATCCATATCAGATGTCAATCGAGAACACATTGAAGAATTTACCAAAAGCTTCAGTCACCTGTTCGATTCAAGTATTATGATCATCAGGGTCCATGTTAACTTCTATTCATTCTTACCTACAAGTTATCTTAATTTGGTTGTATTTTTATTTAATAAATTAATAAATATTGTTAAATGCTTTACTTAATTATGTGAAGGTGGGTAATTCTTACTCTTGAAGTGTGCTAGAATTGAGCCCAACATATATCGTCTGTGTTTGATAAAGTATAGTCTTTGTTAAAAATAGTATAGTTTATGACTGGCTTTTAGTAATAATTCGCATTCAAAGTCGTGAAGAAGTAATTTGCAAATGAAAGCAATTGTTTAACAGAATTTGTTGGAAGTGTCTCTTTCGATGTCGAAACTTGAAATTTCTCTCTTATTTACCTGCTACGGAGTAGCTAGCAAGCTCAACAATGGAAATTGTGCATTATATATGTTAATATGTATGGAATAAACAAGGCAGGAAATAAGATGAATATCTAAACTAGTACAACTTGGAGGATAACACCATTCATGTAATGATCAGAAGAAAATGAGGTTAGGTTACAATATTATATCTCTTTTAATGTGAGGCATAATAGTGCTTAAACCAACCTTTTACTCTTTTCTCATCTTTAAACTCTTTTCATAGATAGATTACCTTTTTTTTTATTTTTTTTTGAAGCCAACATAGATAGATTACCTTATTCACTCAATTCATCCACTTTTATATTCTTGTTAGTAAATTGGTTTTGGCATACATTCATGAATTTTGCCAATTTGTTTCTCTTCTAATTTTTTTGCATTAATAACCTCCGTTGTGAGAAGACTTCTTAATGTTCTATTTATATTGAATAAAATTTGGTTTTTGGCATGGATGACAGTATAACGTTAAAATAATTTTTTTTTCTCATATTCAGAAATAACAATTTTATAGAGCTGTCAAATTGAATGTTCGTCTATTGCTCAAGGGTAGGGGTTATTTTAGTGAAGAAAAAACCTCCATGCTATGCCTATTCAAAGCTCTATCCCTTGTGCGAGTGTCTGATTCAGAGATTTGGCTACGCTTGGTCAGTGTGTCCATGTGGGTCGAACTGAGTTCTAGTCTCCTCTGGTCAATTTTGCTTCAGTAGAGTTTGTTCTTAACATCACAATTGTCATTTATACTATATTGGGATGCTTGTAAATTAAAAACATGTCATAAATAGAACTTGATGGTGGTTAGATTTCCAAACTTATACTTCCTTTGTTCTTTTCATATTGCAATGTGGGGAAAAATACTCTTCCCATAACAAATTCTATACCTTGAAGTATCTTTAATATTATATTGGTAAATATCAGTAAAAGTTGTCATTGTGAATATGTGAAAGTATATATTAAGATGAATCAAACAAGACTCGAGAAAACAATATTTTTATATTGCTTCTATCAAATATGGTTGCTTCGACACGCCAACGAATTTTAAAGCAATGCTGCATCTTATGCCATGGGAAGATCTAAATTCTAGACTCTACTAGTTTACTGCTATTTAGTATTTATTTCCTATTTTCTTTTCTTATAAACATTTTTTTTTACAGGAGCTAAGTTAGAAAGGAGTGAGGGACATAGAAAAGACAGATTACACAAAGTAAAAGGCACTGCAGAATGAAAATTTAGGCAGTTAATAAATTGCACTCAAAACATCTAATGAAATGCATTCACAAATTTATCACTAGATACTGAAATTCTTTACATTAAAAAATATTCTTCTCATCAAATCATCATACTTAAACCTATGAACAAACAATTAAGGAACTCGACATCCTTAACTAAGAAAAAACATGGGGGTTTTATTCGTACCTTCAACTATTGTTTTCTTCTGACATTACAAAAACTCTACTCACTAAAAATGCTTCACACTAAACCTCCACTCCCCTTTCACTGGATCATAGGAGACAAACTCGGCACCTTGTTTTTCAGCTGCCTGCTTCAACTTCTCAATGTATTTCTCAACCATTTTCCCACTATTATGCTGTTTTCCAATCTTGTCAACACATTTAACATTCAGAAGAGTAACTTCAGCTGCCTTGTTAAGGCCTTGTCCAACTGGAGGTTTCTCACTCTCATCATCATACACTATCACCTCTCGATAATTGAAGTGAACTAAGGAGTCAAGATTGAGTCCACGTACATTTGTCTCCCCGTAAAACTTCACCCAACCAAAACCATCTCTGCCCAGTACAAAGTCCTTTACATGGGAGCAAAATCCTGGATTAGAGCTTTCGATTGATGCTAACTTCTCAATTTTGGGCTCTGTGTAGTAGTCTGAGCGTTGTAGCTTTGGAAGCAAGAGCTCCAACTCTTTTGCATTGTCATTGGTTTTAGCAAAATCATCTTTACAAGAGATGGGTGCAGAACTGCTGATTTGGGCTTTTTTAGCATTGCCTGTACCTGAAACATTAGAAGAGATGAAATTAGGATCACTACGTAAAATAATTCACGGGTATAGGCAAGTGACAATTATAGGGACAGCAAAACGATAGAAATCATAAAATTGGTATAAATGATACTATAGAATAAGGACACAAATTTCATTCAAGTAGTTACACCCAGATGCTTAACCTCTTGCACAATATAAATATTAAAAAAATAATTGGCAATGCAATCATATACTGAAGCATCAAGAGACGTACATGGTGGCCAGAATGTGATATGATCTGGATACATACTTTTTATTGTGATACATACTTTTTATTGTGATAAAATCTGAAGCATTAAGACTAGAAAATAAAATCAAGTCTTAGCTTAGACCATCTCATACTTTTTTATTGTGATAAATTAACAAACTCACCTCCTCCACAAGTAATGTCACTCCCCTAGAAAATTAGAATTGGCACCATCTCATGCACGAGTTTTCTAAATCCAAAACATAAAAATAAAGACACAAGCCAATCAAGTTTTTGGAAGCCTTGTCCAAGAGTCCTCCAAAATATTAAGGGGCCGTTTGGTTTGCATGGGGTAAACGGAATGGAATGAACAAAGGGAATGAAATAGAATGAAATGAAAATCCCTCAAATTTAGTGTGTTGTTTGTTTTAAAAATCAAAGGGAATCAGATCCACCACATTACCACCACAACACCACCACCACTACACAAATTTATTTTAGTAATCCAACCTTCCCCCTTACCCCAGCAACCCAACCACCCAACTTTTGAAATCCGGCCACCCAACCTAGCAGCGAGCTCACAAAGAAGAGGGGTTTTGGGTTGTTGGTGGTTTCGGGGTTTTGGTGGTTGTTTTGGGGTTTGAGAGTGGCCGGGGTTTTGAAATTTCATGGTGGTCGGGGTTTTGGTTGGGATGACGACACCCATGGTGCACGTGAGAGCAGCGGCGAGCTCACGAGTGTTGGCTTGGACAAGGAAGCGACGGCGACGTCTTGGAGGCAGTGGTGGAGTTCAAGGAGAGCGGGATTAGGTGGTGGAGTTCACGGAGAGCAGGGTTTTTGCAGGAGTGGGGGAGTTTTTCGGGGGAGGGGATCTCCGGCGAGGGACGGGGAGCTCCGGCGAGGGACGGGGGAGATGCAGCGATGGTGGCTGGGTGGTGGGGGTAGGGTAGGATGGTGATGGCTGGTTTGGATGTGGTGGTGTTGTGGTGGCTAAGGAAAGGGAATGGAAAAATCTAGGGGGGGTGGAGAATGAAGTTGGAAGGATTTTGGGTAATGGAGAGGGTAAAGGGAATGGGAAAAAATGCCAAACAAACAACAATAAAGGGAATCAGGACAATTGATTCCCATTCCCTTTGATGAATACCCCCAACCAAACGGCCCCTAAAATCATAGAAATAATTCCCAGCAGAACAAAATCAGGAACTTCACTTAATTTAACAAAACTATGTGCTTCTTGAATAATCTTCTGTGTCTATATTCTACTCAAAATTTCCTCACCTTTGTAATAAGCTTTCTTATCATAGGTAGTGTCTGATTTATCTTTAATCCATTTTATACCTTCGTTGCCTGTATAGTGGAAATGTATGATGCATCAAAACCTATAAAACATATATATGCACACATAATCTGCAAATCACAACCTGGCATATAATTCTTTAAAGGATTTTAGGACAAGATATTAATAAAATTAAGGAAAGCTCCTAAAACAGTCAGACCAATTTATCAAGCTTGACTTAAAACACACAAAATTAATGACATACCATCCTCATACTCCACAGTAGCTGCATGATTCAGTGAAGATGCCTCTTTTTTGGAAGCACTGTCAAAGGTTGGCTCGGTGGATGCAGCAATCACTGACCTAGGATTCTCCCTTGGAATTATATAATTATATCCCTTGCTTATATTTAGACCTTCCGCAGCCCGATCAAAGAAGGGCACCTATATTGGACAATTAGAAGAAACAAAGACTTCAACAAAGTAAGGGAAAAGAAAAGGTACAGATACAACAAATTCACAGAATTTCAACACAAATAATTCCCTCCTCACCTTTGTACCATCACTGCTAGGATGATATTTCCTGACACTCACAGTCAACGGCTTAAGTGAATGGTGCCTTGATGTAAAATAAGATGGAACTCTGATTTTTGCAGGTTTACTAGACACCTATTTGGCACAATAACAAAGCTCGTGAGATTTTTAAAAGAAAATCATCCTAGATAAATAAGTTTATTTTCAATGTAGCATGGAAAGCGTGTGGATATACTCACGGGCATGCTAGAGATTCCATGTTGAATAAATGAAGAACGGACAGAGTGATCTATCACTGGCTGGAATGTTTTAGTTTCAGATCCAAAAGGATCTTTCACAGCTATAATGCTTTCCGTGACCTTGCTTGTTGCTGTGAACCTATAAAGAAATAAGATGATTGCCTCAATATTTTGTGGCTAGTCAACTAATTGTTTTTTCTTATAATCTATACAGCAAAAAGCATGAAATAAAAGTATGATAAATTTTTACAAAAACAAAAATGAAGATAAAAACATCAGCTTACTGTTGAGGAGGATTGGGCTGAGGCGAGCCAACATCGAGTGAAAAACCTCCATTATTCCCTAATGGTAACCAGAAAATAGCAAAGAAAGTTAAAATGTTATACAAAAAATAGCAGTTACTAATATATGATAGATGTTGCACACAGAAATCATTAGTATATTTTCGTAATGATCATATGAACTTTTTCAAGATACCTGCTGAGACAAGAGGTGTTGTCCAGGGAGATGATGCTTGCTGATGAGGGAAGAAAAAAGGAGGTTACAGAAGTAGAACAAATTATACAAGAAAATATTACCCAAAAAAAAGAATTAAAATATCTAAGAGACAGGAATGAGCATAAAACTATAACATAATCCAAACAAAGAAATCATGTATTGCAATTTCAACCAGATCAGATGAAAAGTGCTTGATGAGCAACACACAGAAAGAAGTGATAGGAAGTTCAGAAAAATACTGCGCATTACTTACAATTGTATCTATCACTGAATTTCCATTGTTTGGCCATGGTTTTATCGAGCTAATAGCAGAACTACTTGCTACTTGGTCACATCCATTTCCAGTAGATGGTGAGTGGATTGACAGATGTTTAGGTGTTGTTCTTAGTAAGTAATCAGGCCAAAGTCTTAAAGCTTGAGTTGATAACTGAGGATTCTGTAGTGGCTGATTATTTGGATCACCGGCAGTGACTTGGTCGCATCCAGATCCAGTAAAAATGGGTGTTCTGGTGTGAAATGCAGATATATTTGGTGATGGGATTTGAAAAGTAGGAGTATTCATATTTGTTGAGAACGCTGGAGCACTACAAGATGGAGTAAGGATTCCCAAGGAACTTGTAACTGAAGGAAGAGGGATGCTCAAGTGCTGTTTGTTAATCCCCTGTGCCTGGTCACTGACTGAATTCTGCTGGACTGAAAAAAAAAAAAAAAAAAAAAAAAAAATCAAAATTATTTGATAGCAATATTATCAATAGACTTCTACAGACTACAACAGCATGTGATGAGGGTATAAAGAAGAGAACATAAGGTTGAAAAACTTGTAACACATTAAGCATGCATACCTCCAGATTTTAGGCCATAGTTCTCCCATCTCAATTCTTCATGGCTTTTACCAGCGTAACAAGGCATGCCTGATATTGAGATTAGTCTGCAATTTTTTGAATCATCCTTTATAATAGTTTGCTCATATGATTTAATTCTGCATCCTGTATATTGGCCACAAAAAAGATTGCAGTAAATTTACATCACAGAGAAAAAGTTAATAAAATTTACCAGAACAAAGCTGTGGCAGGAAATCAGCAGTATTAGAAGAATGTATACAAAAAAAAAAAAAAAAAAAAAAAAAAAAAAAAAAAAAAAAAAAAAAACTGCATTTGGACAGGTTGTGATTTTGTTTGAATTTGATTATTACTACCCTCAACAGAGTTCAAAGCTCCAGTGAACCGGGTGGGGAATACTCAAAATAAAGTCCCTAAGGCAACAGGACCAAGAAATGATAAACTATGAAAACACATAATTGCTACCCAACAATATAGTAGGTAAAGAAAAACATTTAGAAGTAGAGATTTTACTTCATTTCTTATACATAGTATCCACTTTTCCTTTTTACTTTTGGGTGGCAGATACATTAAGAATTAGTACAACTTTTGGGGAAGCCCTTCCTGCTTGTTTAGAATTTGATGATTGCAGAACAAATTCAATTAGGCAAAGTAGATTTGTTATCACTACAATCCGTTAGTAATCAGACATTACCTCCAAAGTTTCCAGCATACTTAGTTCAAGCATGAGAGAAATTATTGCCTCACACCCCTAGTACAAAAGTGTTGGATGATATATAAACTTAATCCATAGGTGTATACTATTTTAAAATAATCACGGCAGATTTTTAGCATATCAACAATTAATCAGGATTCCACGATTTATTGTAACTAATTATGCCCATTACTGGTCTGACGAACATACAAACTCTAATTACTCTGTATCACAAGTCTCTGTAGGATCAACAAACCAACCACAAGTTTCTATCTCAAAATCCAAAATCCATAGTCTCAGTCACACTGGACATTGATTAGAATAGAAGAATGTTAAGATGGTCAAAAGACAATTAACAAAAACCCTCACAACTGTCACAAGTCAAACATTTTATTCCAGAAATTATTCAGATCTTCAAATTAGTAATTCCAAGTGATAGCCATAACTGATATTGTTTATTCACGTAACTGAACTTAAATGGAGCCTAAAGAACCAAAAAAAGGTGCAGGTATTCCAACAATTTAAGGATAGTGTATTCATAATGTGAAATAAAAGCAGATAATTAAATAATCATAAAATTCACTATTTCACCTACTAGTAATGATGGGGAAGTCACAGAACTGGAAGTTGAAAATGGGTTGGCAGGCATTATTCCAAGTGCATTTGAAGTTTGCCCAAAATTTGACCCTGTGACATGTGAAGCTAGTGCATTTCTCAATGGCATAAAAGCAGCTGCATTGCTACTATTATTACTGGTAAATCCAACTATTGCAGGTGGTCCAGGAGCTCCCGCTGGTGTATCGTCAATCCCTAAATCATAAAATGAAATATTTCGAAAATGACATTGTTTACATTATCAGTAAGATGTTTGACGTGGAAGCTAAGGAAATGGAAACCCCCTCAAAAGATAATCTATTAGGGGGTAGGGTAGTAGAACAACTCAGTGGGTCACAGAGAGCAAGAGAAAATATAAAACACATGAAGCTCCAAAAGTCCAAAGTATTGATCAAATAGTTGAAGTTCATATCGTGAAAGCAAACTCTATGTAATAGGATGATTTCCAAAGTTTAGGAAGCCAAAGGAATGAATCTCCTCAACAGGTGAATACTGATTTCAGACCCTGTCATCAATTTGAATGATCCACAAGCTCACCAGAAAGAAAGTACTAATTGAATAAGGGCTAAGTGCTGAATAGGAAAAATTAAGATATAAGAGGGTAATCTATTTAAAGCAATAGACTTCCTGTCTATTACTCATTGTGAAAAGATGAATTGTCAAATACGGGATTAAAGGTCGATGTTTTTCACCCACCATGAGTTAATAAAGGCTGTGGCATACTCCTATGCCTTCATGATTATTCTTATCACGTCATTGACAATCACTCGGCATACAAATAATTTCTACTGTTTCATTGCCCATAAAAGCGTGCCCTCAAGAATTAAGATGCTTAGGAATCTGATCAGTATCGAGAGGAAACTACAACATAATGTGGATGTAGTAATGAAAAAAACACAGTTAGGCAGTGAAACTATATGCACCATCACTAATTAATCAACATAAAACAAGAAGCAGCAGCATGAAAATGTACAGTATCAATAGTGAAAAGGAAATGCAGATATTTGCCACATAAAAGACGCAGAAATTAAGCAAGGCATAAGTACCACCAGAAACTACTACAACTTCTTTGACTGATATTGGGCGAATAGCAGGATTTGAACCTGCATCTTCTCCTGGGTAGGAGAAGACTTACCATTTTTTATTATATTCGCAAATGTACAGTGTCAATGTTGAAAAGAAAAGGTAGATATTCACCAATCACCACACAAAGGATGCAGAAAATATGCAAGATTAAGTACCAGCATAATGTTACAAGTTTATGTAGTTTTGGACAAATAGTGAGGACCAATCCTACATCCCCCTCCTTGAGGGAAGAGTAACCAAAACTGGTATAAGAGATACTGTGGCTATATGTGCCAAATGGAACATATGACCATCAAATAATCATGACTTAAGAAAGTACCAATATTCAAAGTCAAAGCAATCAAATCATAAAAATATTAGTTAGCTTCAATTTAATTCCCCTTCCCAGATTCTTCTTTAGATTAGGCTATTACACTAGTTACAGCATAACCCATGACAAAGAGCATTGATTCAATAACTAGTACTAATTACTAAATAAGTATCAGTCTCTTCCATATTTACCTTCACCTATCTTAAAATCTATCCCATTCAAGAAGCTATGATGTCAGCCAATCTAGAGGCTTGACACATGAGTACATGACACACCACCTCCCCAACGAAAAAAGAAAGAAGAGAAGAAAACAAATGAAAGTAGAGCCGATACATTGGTGGCAGGAGAAGTCAGAAATGAAGATGATGATGCTCCAAATTATCCAGTTGAAGTTCCACCAAAAAGTGACTTCTGTATTGAGGAACTTGGGATGGTTTCACTCTCTATTGTATTAAATATTTAAAAGCAACTGAATTATGCCCAGGAATTCTCTTATTCCCAAATAATGACAAGGCAAAAAATAAAGAACAGGGACCTTGTGCAAACACTGAAGACTTGAAATAAATAATGTATAAAAATATAAATAAATAAAAGGACACACAGTTATAATACCAGAAAACTGTTTGTTTAGCAAATGACAGATGAGAATGCAATAAATGATATGCATCGGCAGTTAATGTAACTTAGAAGACTAAGTAAGATACTGTAGATTTTAATTCTCTGGAGAGAGAAGATTCCTAAGTTCTCAAACATGAACAATACAAAAAGCACACTAACTACTACAGAGTAATATGTAAAATAAACTCCCCATGGAAACAAAATCATGTTAATTAGATTTAACAAGTAAGCACGAAAATAAATAAAAGCCAAACAATAAATGCTTCAATTAAGGATAATACAGAAACCAAACATGATGATGATAGACCTCCAAATGCTCCTCTTGAAGTAGTAGAACCAAATGGACCATAATTTCCAACGCTTGTGGTCCCAAGTGTTGATGATGATCCAAAGAAAGCAGCTGGTTGTCGTTGTCCAAATGCTGGCACATACAAGCAAACAGAGAAATCAGCGCAAACTGACCAGAGAGCTGTGGATTTGACTTCCACTTGATTCAAAGCATAAATCACTATTCATTTTTTCCCTAATGAAGATAAAAAAAATTCAAGAACTGCCAAACTATGGACATAATCATATAAATTATCAAGGGAATATTAAGAAGAAAACAAAATGATCCTAAAAATACATTGTGAAAAACCTGACATGAATCATTTATCACTTACTCAAGGATGGGGAAGAAGCCGACGACACTCCAAATAAACCTGTTGAACTTCCACCAATAAATGATCCCTGATTAATGAAACTTGGGGAAGTAGTACTTCCTGTTGTATTAGAAGCAAACATATAACTCGAATTGCTACCCTTTCCAAACAAACTTGACATTCCCAAAGAAGACGATGTTGATCCTAATACATTGGTTGTACTACCCCCAAAAATTGACCCTTGGGTCGGTAATCTTGTAGTCCCTGTTGTATTTGGAGCGAACACATTACTCAAATTGCTACCATTTCCAAACAAACTTGACGTCCTCAAGGAAGAAGATGCTTCCCCAAATACATTGGTTGTACTACCCCCAAAAGCTGACCCTTGGGTAGATATATTAGGAAAATTTGTAGTCCCCATTGCATTAGAAGCAAGCAAATCACTTGAATTGCCACCACTACCAAACACACTCGACGTCCCAAAGGAATACGATGCAGCTCCAAATGCATTGGTGGCATTACAGCCAAAACCTGACCCTTGGGTAGATATATTTGGGAAATTTGTAGTCCCCATTGCATTAGAAGCAAATGGATTACTCAAATTGCTACCACTCCCAAACACACTTGATATCTGAAAAGGAGACGATGCAGCACCAAATGCATTGATGGCATTACCACCAAAACCTTTGGAAGCAAACAAATTACTCGAATTGCTAACGTTTCCAAACTCACGTGACGTCTCCAAGGAGGCCGAAACTTGCCCGAACACTGTAAAATGGAGAATAAAAAAGCTCACATGATATCGAAAGCCATTCAAAGTACCATATCCACAACAACACTTTAAGTATGTTAAGCATGCATGATTACACTACGTACATTTTTATATTCAATAGGTATACAGAGACCAAATCATGCAGGTACTCTGAAGTATCCCAAATTATTACTACAGTCAATGAGAAATCAGGAAAAACTTCAATTAAGCATTTTAATTTTTTTTTAATTATTTTTTTTGGATAACTTGGCAAAATTTCAAGTTATTCTATCAAATCAAGCCATTTTCCACTATTTTTACTAGAAATTCGATGAATTTCCTTGTGTTTTCTCTTTTCAGAAATTCTCAAGTTCTTAATACAACCTCACGAAAATTATTATAAAAAAAAAAAAATATATGAAATTTTTTAAAAAAAAAAAAAAGAAAGAAAGAAAACTCTAATTCTCTATCATCAATTCAAACCCTAGACGAAGAAATCCAACAATTACCATCAAAAAATTGCAAATAAGTAAAATAACTATACAGAAAATCCCTAAATATCATTAATTCAAATCCTAGACGAATGAAATTGTGCAATAATGAACAGAAACTTGTGAAAATTTCAAAAAGTAATAGTTCGTTTTTACAATTAAAAGACATCGTAAATTACCTCCAGCCATCAATTATGGTTGAAATCTGGATCGCTAGAATCTTCAACAAATTACGATGAACGCAACAAATTTGATATTTGGAATTTGGAAAGGAATCAAAATTGAAGCAATTAAAAAGAGTAAAAATAAAAGAATCCATATATATATATAGTTAGAACTTAGCTTGAAAATGGAGCAGGAAAATAATATAATATGCCCAGAATTTTAGTTCTTCGGCGTCAGAAGAACGCATTATATACGAAGTATGATTTCAACTCCCGCGTTTTTTTTTTTATCTGCAAAAGCATACTCGCAGGATACATGTTATGATTCTATTAACTTGAACTCCTCGGATTGGGCTTGAGATCAAGTTGGGCTTATGTTTTCAATATCCAATTACTATTGGCTAGCGCAAACTTTTAGCTGGCCTCGCGACCAGCCGTAGCTGGCTGATCCCGCGCAACAAAAATGAACATTTATTAGAAAAAAATGAACCTTTACCAGAAAATAATGAACATTTATTAATTGGATATTGCATTATATAAAATAAATATTTATAATATAAGAGTAAGATAAAGAGACTATGAAATTGGAAAAAAAAAATAAAAAAAATTGTACATCTAATATTATATAACTGAACATTTCAGTTGTAAATAAAAATGAACATATAAATGTTGTTGCTTATTCATCAACATTTTTTTAAGCTTCAAATGAAATACCTAGATTTGTTCAATTCTCTAAAATGGATATCTTGCAATTTGCTGAACTATATGATTTAAAACCAATTAAATAAATCAACAATCTGTTTTATAATAATGAACAAAATGCTAATGTCTAACATTGTTAATGCTAATGTTAATTGAACATCCTATACTATAAAAACGAACATTTTATACAACTGAACAAATACAAAAATTTGTATTAATTAAAAAAGAAAATGAACATTTATTTTAGAAGAATGAACATCATAGTGCATGAAAATGAACATTTAATTATTGAGAAATGCATAATTATTGTAAAATATGTTCAATTAGAAAATGCTCATTTTTGTTATAGTAAATACTATTTCTCAGCGAGGGACAAGCCAGAGTTGGCTGGTCTTGAGTCCAGCTATTAACTATTGATTAGCTAGCCAAGTTACGGGTTAGCCATACTAATAGCTAGATCCAGATATGAATGTACAATATGATAACATATAGAGGTGTCAATTCTGGGCATTCGGTCGAGTTTGATCGAGTCTAGTCGGGTTAGTTATAGTTTAGGTTTGAGTCATACTAAATCTTTATGGCAGTGCTGATTAAATACGGATTGAGTCATACTAAATTTTATGGCAATGCATATCAAATTCTGGATCAAATCATTTTTGGGTTAATTCAAGTCTAGTCGAGTCGGGTTAGTTTTCAACACCCTTATTACCCAATGCTTAACCTTAAAAAAAAACTCATGCCAGTACTATTTTGGATATCAGACTGATTATGCTTGGAGAAATAATTCCTTCTACTCTTCTAGTAAAGGTTTGAGTCATGCTAGATTCAAATTTGAAATTATATGTGTACAATACCTTTATTAAAAAGAAAATAAATTAAAATTAAGGGTTGAGGCAGAGGGTTATTATCTATCTATTACACATTACACATTAATAAAGGGGAAGCTAAAGAGACATTTGGTGGCGCTATATTAAAACAAATTCCTCCAAAAGTATTTGTTTAAAAAAAACATTCTTACTATAACAAAAGATTATTGTATCTAAATAATGACATTTGCTTAACATAAAATCTAAATTAAATTTTCTAGAATAATAAAATATTCATTATAACTATTATATGTGGTTATTTTTTTTAATATATTTCACACTTTCTAATAATTGGTGTGTCGAGTTCTTATTTTTTATGATGTACTTACAATTTTGTTGTCATCATAATTATTAAACAATAGTGCTTCTATTGCACAGGTTTAACCTATATTATCAATAAACAAAAATGAAATTATAATTAAAACAACAAACATGTTTAATCAATATGACATTTTTGTAATTATTACACTATAAGCGACGGATCTCATCTTTAGTGAATTTTGTTTTATTAATCTTTCAATTATGCCACCTGATTGTGTCGAAGGAGATAAACTTTATTTTCATGAGGACAGTACGTACCTAGTGATGTCAATTCATGTAGGGTAGAGTTCGATGAGATCGGGTCTATTTTAAAGTTGAGTCGTGCTAAATTATCTATTAACTAATACTAAAACAAAACATGCTGACATCATCTTTCTCTAAATTTGTACACATGTCGCTTTCTTATAAAAAAAAATTCCCGCCTAAATGCTTTAATGACATCATCATTTTTTTTTTTAAAGTTGAACTACTCTAGTTTTATTAATTGAAAACTATTTATGAATTTTGACTAAAAAATCAAATAGATGCTTCTACAAACTACTATACAAACTGTTAATTGATGGAAGCTAAAATAATAATTTTGATGACATCTATTAACTAATACTAAAACAAAACATGCTGACATTATCTTTCTCTAAATTTGTACACACGTCGTTTTCTCATGAAAAAATTTCCCGCCTAATTGCTTTAATGACATCATCTTTATTTATTTATTTTATTATTTTTTTTTAAAGCTGAACTACTCTATTTTTTTTAATTTGAAAACTATTTATGAATTTTGACAAAAAAAAATCAAATAGATGCTTCTACAAACTACTATACAAACTGTTAATTGCTGGAAGCTAAAATAACAATTTTGATGACATTGGTACTAAGTATACTTTTTGAAGCATTGGTGCTAATTATATACTATGTAATTTTTTTCTTCAGATTTCATTAATATGCATTCCTTAAATAATTTTCTTTTGACTATTTCAATTATTAATTATAAATAATGTGTTTCATATATATCCTTAAATGTAAATTATTTTTATATCTAATTATAATCTTTATATACCATATAATGCAACAAAACATAAATTACAAGAAAGATTAATTCTAACCGCATCGCATGAAGATAACCTGATTGTATTCATATACAAAATCTGAATATCGGATTAGATTGGGTCGAGTTGGTCGGATTAGTTTTGGTTTGACACCTACTAGTACTAGTACATTCGATGACGCGCACACATAGACGCAAGTATATAAATACATCTCACAAACAAAACTAGGAGTAAATCAAAAGGAGGTAAATTGATCTGTCTAAAAGCTGGTGGAATACCTCTAACACGGAAATACCGAGGGTGTTGTTGATTTTATATCATAATCTCAAAACAAGAGAGAATTTTATAGTCATCCAAAAATTTCAAGAGAAATTAAACATGGCTCAAAACCCTCAATTGTTTCCAAATGGTATGCCTGTTCCTTTTTATGCCGAATTGTTCGTCTTGGCTAGAGATGGTGTTGAATTTGAGATCGATAAAATCCCTGGGTTAGAATTTCTCCTCCTTTAATTTGTGTTTAATAATGTTGGTTTTTTTTTTGGTATTCTGATGAATTTGAATTTGAGGTTAATTTGTTTAATTGACCGGTTGATTTGTGTATTTTTAGATTAGGAATTGGTTAATTGTTACAAGTAGTTGTGTTTCTGGTATCGAATTGAGCTTTTTTTTTTCCTTTTTTTCTTTTTTTTTTTTTCTTTTTTTTTTTTTTTTTCCAAATTTCGCTTAATTTCTTCTAAGCTATGCGAATTTTTTTGTTTTTTTGGGTTTGGTATTGACTTGGGTTTTTGGTTGGTTTTTTAATTGCAGATTTGATATTGTTTAAAGAAAATTCGTACTTATAAATTGCTATTTAAAAAATAAAAAAATAAAAAAATTATTGGGTGAAACATCAAATTTGGATTATAGAGGACAATAAGAGAATTGAGTTAATAAAACAAGTAGATTGAAAATACCAGAAACAACATTTAACTTAACTTTTTCTTCAATTGGTTATGTAGCAAACCCCTGTTAGTTTGATAAAAGCAAGTTTATGGGAGATAATGGGTGAGTGAGAGAGTTTTTGTAAAATAATGAAGGCAATAGTATATGAGAGATGATAGGTGATAGTTAAGCAAAAGGGATAAGATGAAGTGTTAGTCGAAATTACTTAAGCTTTTCGACTATGATTTTGGGGACGATTCTGAACTTGTAGTAACCTCCCTCCATCCCTACGAAGTAAATTATTTAAGTTGTTAGTCAATTAGATTTTTGAAATTGCCTACCTTTGTCGGCTATGAACAAAATTCATGAAGGGTAGTGTGAATTTTATATTGGAATTTTGAAATTCTCTTTACCGACATTTGTTGGATATGAACAAAGGTAGTATGAAATTGTGAATGTTCTTTTGGGGTAGGACTTTGAGAGATGAAATAAATGCTTTTAGTCATGATCAATAGGGATTGCCCATACGAGTGAAGCTTGAACTTGGCAGTGGTTGGTTTTATTTGCGAGAGCAGTGTAAAATATCATAAATTCCTAAGTCCTTAAATTACCGCCAATATTAGATGAACTCACTTTTAATATTATCTTTTTTTACTAGTAGTAGATCAGAATGTGGCATTATTCAAAATTTATGTTTTAGCCTTTTAGGAGATATCCTTCACAAGAACTTATTGTTAGCTAATTATATAGTAGAGTGTTGAGGTTTGTATATAAATTTCCTTCATAGACTTTGTGCTCTTGGTACAAAGAATTTAGGTTAATACTTTGACTGCTGGAATCCTATTAGTAACCAAATCACGTTGCTTGATCATGAGTTGTATTTTGTAATGTACCTCATGCAATTGTCCAACAACCTTTCTTCCAAGCTACTCCCTATGTCCCCATTTTTTGCCCCATTGCAAATAAATATGTCAAAGTTGAAAAACTTTGACCATAAATTTCCATTAATCAAGAAGACATAATATATCCATGTGGGATATTGTTAGATTCGTCTCATTGCATCTTTTATCAATATCAAGTTTTTATAACTTTTACTTGTATAGAAAATGAAGTTATATACATTTTAACATGTGTCTTGGAAACCGTGAAAAGTCAAATGGGGCAAAAAAATAGGGATAGAAGGAGTATTTTCTTAAGGTGTTAGCTCCACTAGCATTTTTTCCCACAATTCTGGAAGATGCTCTGCAGTAATACAATGTGCAATTAATTAATAGTGGTTTAAGTGACTAAGCAATCTGCAAATATGTATTACATTCAGCACCTACGGATAATTGGTAGAGCCAAATAATGAGGCACTCCATATTGCATGTGGGCAGGTTCATGACCAGTTGTTTGTGTGATTAGTTGCTATGTGTCGTTTCCTAGTATTGTCACAAGATT